CCTTCTTTGTATACAATTAGGATTTATTGTTCTTATAAATAGAGGAGATATCAACGTCTGATAATCCAAGAGAGAAAATTGATAGCTTAAGTTTTGAGAATTTTCTTAAGCAATAAAGAGAGGAATTCTTTATTTTGTTCTTTCTATAAAATATTCATCTAAAAGGTTCTTTAGGGGTTTGCTTTATTATATTATATTATATTATATTATATTATATTATATTATATTATATTATATTATATTATATTATATTATATTATATTATATTATATTATATTATATTATATTATATTATATTATATTATATTATATTATATTATATTATATTATATTATATTATATTATATTATATTATATTATATTATATTATATTATATTATATTATATTATATTATATTATATTATATTATATTATATTATATTATATTATATTATATTATATTATATTATATTATATTATATTATATTATATTATATTATATTATATTATATATTATATAGATATAGATACAAGTGATGACATGGTATAACTAATGGGATTTAACAGCCATGTCAGCATTTTTAAGAAATAATTACATATATATGACCAGAATAAAGATGGTTTACAAAAATATGATTCATTACTAGAGTAGTAATGAAATCATAGTAATTCATGTTCAAGTTTTGAACTTTAGTTACTACAGCACTACGTTGTAGTAATGAATAGTCATATTTATGTAAATAAGTTTTATTTTAGTAATATTCTCGTAAAAACCCCCATTTTTAACAACCTTGTAATGGATGATAACAGCCAAGGACAAAAAAAGTTGGCTTAACAAGGATCAATTACAACTTTTTTTTATTTTGCAAGGACTTAAATCAAAATACACTATAATCATACGGACCAAAAACATATTTAAGCCTAATAATAATAGCATACTTTTACGGTATATACCGTACAACCGGTTGTACCTAGAGCATGGTACAGCCGGGTTATTTTGTAATTAGATCCCACTTTTAGGGTAATGGATACGCTAATGTTTACGTTGCTGGTGCTTTTCTTTTTTGCCGCCAGTCTTAGTTGTTTTTCTTTGCGTTTCGGGCACGCCGGGTGTACCTTTGACTTTGCTTTTCAGTTTTTCGTTGCTTTTCAGGTTTCAAACTTTCAATGCTTTAGTTGTTTTTAGTTCGTTCTATTCTTTATTTATTTCTTTAACATGCTTTAATTTTCTTTATTCAACTATTACTACCTCCGTTCTTTAATATTAGTCCCCTTAGGGTTTGGCACGGGATTTAATAATAAAGTAGTAGGGTAAGTATAAAGTGTGTAGGGTAAATGATAAAGTAGGAAAGATGGTATATTAAAAAGAGTAAAATGATGATAAAGTAGGAAAGAGAGTGTATTAAGAAGAGTAAAGTGATGGTAAAGTAGGAAAGAGAAAGTAGTTTGTAAAAAGTAAGTGGGGTAAAAGTAATAAAAATGGAGGTATTTTCTCAAAAACTTTCCTTAAAGGGAAAGTAGACAAATAAAAAAAACGTCCCAAAAAGGAAAGAAGGACTAATAAAAAAGAACGGAGGGAGTATGAAAATGGTTAATATAAAATATTGTTAATGTTTGATTTTGTTTTTTATTCTTTTTTCAATCAACCTTCTAATCCAAGTTTTTTAATTTGTTTATTATGTTATCAATGTTTTTTCATCTATTTTTTAATTTTAAGATGAATATTTATTAGTTTATTGAATATTATGCGTTAATTACTAATATGAATTTTGTGTTATACTAAAATGAGTATAGTGTAAAATAAATGTGCATGAGTAAATATTATAAAAACAACAATATTATACTCGTAATTCAAGAAAAAAGACTAAATTATTTGTAATAAAACATTTTTTTCTTTCTTATTGTTATATAAAATGATAGTTTATTAAATTGTTAATAACGAATCTACTAGATATACATATTATAGAAAGGAGTTTATGTTATATTCGAATGAGTATAACGATTAAATGAAATGAGCACACACAAATGAATATTTGAACACATTGGGGAATTCAAATGCGTTTTTGGATGTTTGATACTCATATTGTAGGGTGTGTATGTTCATCTTGTATTGGTTTTATGATCATTTTAAAATATTATATCAATGCATATTTCAAAACTATCATATTACGTTAGTTTCGCATGAGGGTTGATTATAGACACGAGAGTAGAGATCATAATACTCAATTGCATGCTTCTAGTACTCAATAAAGGAGGTTAGATGTACAATGAAAATGTCTTGATGCTCAACTAACAAAGCTTATGATTTTCATAAAATTTATCATTCGATAAGTAATTTATGCTCATTTTGTATTGGTGTTATGCTCATTTTAAAATTGTAAAATGTTATATCAATACATATTTCAAAAGTAGCATTTACATTACATTCACGTGGGACTAGTTGATTATAGATATGGGAGCACAGAATATATAAATTAATATTTGAGAAATGATTTTTTAATTTTTCAATGCTCATCTTGGTGCTCATTTGTATAGGTCTGATGCTCATTAAAAATTCATTAATGCTCATTAAACATAAATCGTGATTTCCATCGATCTTAATAGAGGAGGTTTGATGTTTAATGAAAATGTGTAATGTTCAACTAGCAAACCATACAATTTTCATATCAATGCGCATTTGGTAAGTTGCGTATGCTCATTTGGTACTGATCTTATGCTCATTTTGTAAATGTCACATCGATGCATTTTTAAAAGTATTATTCTACATTAGATTCATATCTTGAAATTAATAGAAGTTGGTTATAAATATAATGTAATAATTTTTTATAAAAGAAAAATAACAAAAAGAAAGTGAATTAGAAGTTATGAAGCAGAGATCACAATTCTGAATATGAGACTCCTAATACTCAACATAATCGGTCTGATGCTCATCAAAAGTTCATTAATGTTCTTTCACCAAAAAACGTGATTTTCGTGTCAACAGAGGAGGTTTGACACTCAATTAAAATGTTGTGATGTTCAACTAACAAACCTTGCAATTTTCATATCAATCTATACTTTGTAAGTTATGTATGCTCATTTGGTACTGATGTTATGCTCATTTTTAGAACGTTATATCAATGCATATTTCAAAAGTATCATCTTACATTAGACTCGCATATTGAAATTAATAGGAGTGTACTATAGATATAATTTAATAAGTTTTTATGAAAAAAAAGAGAAAACGAATTAGAAGATATGAAGCAGAGATCTTGATACTAATTGTTAGCCTCATAATACTCAATACAATAGGTCATATTAGGTTGTTTTAATTAAATGAATTGTCTTTCTTAATTCGGCCTTTTGTGGGCCTTATCAGGTTCTTTTTCTTACTTTTCCATACTTATAATGAGCATTACACCAATATAAAATGAGTATACATACTTATGAAATGAGCACCAAAAAATTCAGAAAGATCATTTAAAATCTATAGTATGCTCAAATATTAAATGTGAATATATAACGTGTGAAATGAGTATCAAAGAGTTCATAATGAGCATTACACCAATATGCATGGATATGACATTTAAGTTGTCTAGTGTAATGCTCATTTCAAAATGAGCATTATACCAATATCAAATGAGCATAAATCATTTATTAAATGAGCATCGAAAAATTTAAAAACTCGTTTGAATTCTCTAATTTGTTTAAATGTTCGCACATTTATTATAATATGAGAAATATAGTTATGACAAATATCATAATTTCATATCAAAAGTAATTTTCAGTCTTTCGTTCTGGAATTACAAATATAATCGGGTTCTTTTATAATATTTACCATGCGTGTTTACTTTACGCTATACTCATTTTAGTGTAACACAAAACTCATTGTAGTAATTAGCACATACTCCATCCGTCCCTTAAAACTTTGTCATCTTTGAATTTTTTGGTCAACCATGTTCAACTTTGACCAATTATATATCTTTGTAGAAAATTATTTATCATATAAAATTTATGTGAAAATGTTCTTTGTTAAAAGTACTTTTATAAAAGTATAAAACTTACAACTTTCATGATATTATACTAATCAAAATCATGATCCAAACTTTACCACCATTGACATAAAAAGTCATAGATGACAAATTTTTAGGGACGGAGGTAGTAATATTTAAAAATTTAATAAATATTCTTCTTAAATTAAAGATAGAATATTAAAAGATCAATACCTTAAATATTCATCATAAATTAAAATGAATGGATAAGGTGGTTAAGAAATAAACAAAAGTCAACGTAAGAAGAAAAAAGTTCCAGCCATATGCACGTAATTAAAGAAGTACTACGTATGTAAAAAAGGAGACGAACGCAACTAGCTGGCGGCCACATAAAGAGAGCCAGCGCACGGAATCCACTTACGCAAGAAAGAGCGAAGAATGCGGACGGAGGAATTGCAGCCCATAAAAATCAGAACGAATTACAAAAATAACAGGATGTACGGTGAGTACCGTACATCCGGGTGTATGGTATAGGGACTCTACTTTTACCGAACTAAAGGTGAGTCTCCGATTATCAATCGACCTTTATTTAAAACAAATGAAAGATGATTTTAGAAAGGTATTTAATAGTAACAATTAGTAGTAACCAATCTGACGACTCAAACAATCTAGGAAATTTTCATAAACAAGCTCAAAAGTGAAAAAAGTATCACTTTATTCAATTTTTTTTCATAAATAAAGTAGTTAAAGTTAACTTTTAAAAGTGATCGTTATCGAAAGGCAGAAGGGTCTAGTCGAGTACTGCTCGTGCTAGACTGCTAGGGCTTGTTTTGTGGCGGCGTTTTCATCCGTGCTTAGAGTAGGAAGGGTAGGATGTCGACCATAGGCGTTAAGCATAAAGGCGAAGAAAAGGATGACACCCCATTCCTGAGGGCCCCCAACACCGACCAGACGGCACGATGGGAGGATGTAAATTGGATAAAGGCGAAGAATGATAGAAAACAGAACAAATAAGAACCATGCCAGTTTAATGATTTCAAACAGGTTTGTGATCATCTAGCCTTGGAGTAAGAAGATGAAGTGTTGATGGTCCGTCCCCTTCTTGAACCGTCACCGTGGAGTGAACGAGTGGCTAGAGTTTGAAAGATGAAATTTCAAGTTCGTATTTGACCACATCTATGTAGTTATTTGCTTTATTTTTATTTGAAGATTTATTACTTTTTTTCGTTAGACTATATATTTACCTTGTTTTTGGTTTGTTTGTGTTTGTGACAGTCTTGAGAATTTGAGATGTCTAGTTTAGCTATGATTGGAGGTATTGAAACGTATAACGCAGTTAATTGCCCGGAAGCTCCCACAACATGTTTAGCGAAAAGTTCCGCTCAGTATTGGGTGAATTTTTCTATGTCTGACCGGCGACTGTGGAGACTCTTTGGCTATTATGAGTCTAGTGAAGTGATAAAGAGTATGATGACCGTAAATGTTAGTAAGAACTCTATATTTCCCGTTTGGTGGTCAAGGTTCGCGCGACTTCTTTGAACGTGATTTTATGGCTTTTCTCGAGTCTAGATGAAATTTTTTGGAAGACAATGATGTCTTCTGAGCTATTGGTTCACTATAACTCTGGAGTCCATTGGTATTTTTATATAGTTTATCGTTTGCTTAAGAAAGTAACAATCAATAGTATTTGAGAAAAAAACTCATTTGAAAAAGTAAAAGTTGATAGTATGTAGTAAAAGAAATGTTTCTTTTTGTGTAATAGAAAAATTGAAAAGCATTTTAAAGCGTTCATTTAAAAAAAGGATTTTAGATAAAGTGCTTTTTCAAGAAAAACGCCAAAACTTATATTAAAAGATCTTTAGCCAATCGGCTTACAATGAAAGATGGGGGAATAAAATGTTTAAATCCACAACCAGACTATACAACCAGCTGTACGGTGCCAGCCGTACAGCCGGTGGCATTTTTGTAATTTTGGTGAAAAACACGGCTCCTCTTGAATGAGAATTGACGCAATATTGTTGATCATCAAGCCGTTTCTTTTGAGTATTGGGAGCCTAAAAATGAGCATCCGTGTTCTCTGCTTTATATATTGTAATTGGCTTTCTTTTTATTAATTTTTGGTTTATTAATTTTTCGTTTGAAATGTGCAACATTTTAAAATGAGCATAAAGAAGCACCAAATAAACATACATAACTTAAAAAATGAGTAACAAAAAACTCAAAAGCTTATTCGTGTATGCTCATTCATTTTGTGTTGCATACTCATTTGAGTTTAACACAATGTAGTATGATATGTTTAAAATGTGCAGCATTTTAAAATGAGCATAAAGAGACACCAAATAAACATACATAACTTAAAAATGAGTAACAAAAAAAACTTATTCGTCTATGCTCATTCATTTTGTGCTGTATACTCATTTGAGTTTAACACAATGTAGTATGATATGTTTGAAATGTGCAACAGTTTAAAATGAGCATAAAGAGGTACCAAATGAGCATACATAACTTACAAAATGAGTATAGAAAAATTCAAAAGCTCATTTGTGTATACTCATTTATCTTGAGTTCTATACTCATTTAAGTTTAACATAAAACTCATTTCTAATATGTTCAATATTTATTTGTATATGCTCATTCATTTTATGCTTATACTCATTTTCCAGATTCCTCAACCAAATCTCAGTTTCCTAAATCTCAATATGTCATCTCTGTATTCTCTGGCAGCACCCGTAGTCTCTGTATTCTTTCTTCTCACAGGGCCCTCGCAACACAAGCCAACAAAGAAATCCCAAGACCCGCCCGTCTCTTGTGCAGTAGAAGGACCTCCATGCTTGAGGAGAAGTGAGCGGCGATGAGGAGTAGTCAGCCGAAGGGGAAGATCGAAGAATCCAAGCGAGATTGAAGAAGCAGGCGCGAACGGGAAGATCGGAGAAGTCCGATGCTAGGGAGAGAAGCGCAAGGGCTTAAAAAGGGTCGGCTGTACCGTGCGCACGGAACAACCGGATGTAGGATGTAATTTACCGCTTGCCTTCTGCAGTTTCGCATCGGCCACTTGGATTATTAAATTTGCATCTTCACGCAAAAGAGATTTGATATTTGAAGTAGCACTGACTTGATAAGTATTAGCATGCTTATGTATACCTGAAATAACCAATGGCACATCAGTTTCAATTAATACCCTTAGTTTCCCGAGTACTAGCTTTGATAAACAACCAATTGCTATCACGTGCAACCCACCCCCAAGTTGATCGTCCATCCCTCACAGGTTTCTGCAATATGAGATGTGTTTTTTGGACTGAAATTCGCTGGTCTGGTAAATGTTTGGTCTCTGTGTATTTTATAACCACGAAAGTATGGTCTAGTCTGGTCTGGTCTGGTGTGGGACTGAAAACAATTCAGAAGAAAACATCACTGGTACCTATTAGTTGTGTAACTGCATCCCTAACTTTGTTGCTTTCTTTCTCGACTAACTTTCAATTATTTAGCATTGCCTCTGCAGTACATATCACACCCCTTTTCGAAAGAGTCCTCCCTTCCAAACAATTCCGTTCCGAGCTTTCCAAGTACTCCATAGTAGCTTGATAACATTACATATTTCCTCCTCGATCAAATTCCCAAAACCAGCTATAGCCAATTCTCAATCGAGTTTCCCCTCAATAGAGATACAAAACCAGCATCCTTCCATATTCCATGAACTCTCCGTCATTTCAAAAAGATGGACCGCCGTTTCAAAATAGTTTTGAAAAAGTAAAAGTTGGTAGTATTTGATAAAAAAATATTTTCACAAAAAGTGAAAAATAATTTAAAACATCTTCCACCTACTTTTAGTTTTGAGTGCGTAATTTAAAAAGAAGTTGTCACTTAAAACAATTACTTCAGGTTTTCAAGCCAAAACTTGAAAAACATTTTTTTTATTAGAGTGCACAATATTAAAAAAAGTGTAATACAACTTCACATTAATTAATCAAAACACACGATATTAAAATGTTTATATCTTACATTTGGTAAATAAAGCACTTCAAAATAGTATAATAACATATTGTCATGATTCATAATTCCTAAATTTTCGAAACTCTGATATAATATATATAATTTCAGAGGTAATTATTATCAAACTATTGAATTGTGAACTTCTTACACAACCAAAACTCATAGGAAGATGAAATATAAAGGTCTCTTAAGAGATTAACTTATCAACATGATCATCATGTACATAAATTCGTGTTTTAACTTCTACGTAAGAAAATATCATATCTATCTACTCTGAAAATTAAATGCCTTAATGGCATATGCGAAAGTGAATCCAAATATGACAGGGAAGGCCACATTAACAGCTGCCACCACTCCAAGAAAATCATGTTTGAATCCAAAGTAATCATCTAAGAATTGCTTCACTGTTTGATTAGAACCACTCATTTCAACATCAATATCTCCAAATTGTGAGACCACTAATCCATACAATGTCCATGCCACGGGGCATGCCCAGTAGTACCACCTCCACCATATAGGTATTCTCTGTTATATGAAAAGTACAACAAAATTTAATAAGTACGGATAATTGAATCGACAATGATGCGGAAAGAGTATTGAAGTATTACCATACATCAATTAAAACATGAAATACGGAGTAATAATAAACATGTTGGTCAAACTTTTGGGAAGAAATTATGAGACTTAATATGACATCAAAGTTTAGCGGTCTCTGGTTGCAATTTGATTGGATCTAGAATTTGGATATTCTATTTGGCATCCAACCCCATTTATATCCACGTCTCAACTTGGTCAATTCATTTTGGATCAAAAGATGTGTTGAAAATTTTGTCTCACATTGGTCAAATATAAAATACTACAACAACATATAAGATTTAAAGCTAACACATCATCTCAATAAGTGCAAATTAAACTTACAGGTCGTGGAACAATGAAACCAGAAAATAGATTCCACGCCCCATAGAAGAAGACGGCGACAATGGATGCAATGCTTTCGTTGGGAGTAACAGCCACAGACATCATGCCGTAGAGGGTGAAGTATAACAATGTGAAGAACATTATGAAAATGTACCAGAAAAATTTGGCTACCGTCCATTCAAATCCAATCATCGCATAAACAAGCACACCATACACTCCTGATTGTAGAAGTATGTAAGGAATTTCAATAACAACCTGTTAAAAAATAAAAATGTAAGACTTTACCATTCACATTTCTATTGTGGCAACAAAAAAGTAGAAACCTTACTTGTCCAAAGGCATATGGTAATGCAGAATACATTCCAGCTGCCTTCTCCCTATAGAACACAGTGCGTTCAACTGCAACCACAGGTTGTACTGCAGAAGAGTTTTGTACGCCTAGGAAGAGAACAGCAGTATACATGGATCCCATAGCATTAAACAAATCTTGCCTCTTTCCACTGAAATATGAGAAAATAATAAGAAAGAATAAACACATATATAGCCTCTAACTTTTAAAATGATTAAGATATTGAACATTTTTATCATTTCCAAAAGGTCAGTGATCAAAATATGATTTATTTATCTAAAATTAATATTATATCCCTGCTTTTCTCTTTCTAACATGCCAATAAAAAGTCATTAGACAAGGCATTTTCTAAAGATAATGTATGTGTGTAGTGTCACTAGTAGTGAGATCTTAAGTCCTATTTTAGATAATTAAAATATACTTATGTTTTTCTTCATTAGTATTGTTTTAGTAATATTAGAAGAAAACTCCACTTAGAAAACTAACATCTTATTCATATACACATGTTAGCTAGGATTAAATTGAACTGTTCAAGGAGTTTAGGCTTACGTTTTGGTACCCAGGTCCCAAAACATTGTCCCAAAAGCCAATGCTATGACGGCTGTGAAGAGGAATCTAACTGAAGTGTAAGATGTGTTACGCCAATAGGACCAGTGTTGCTTCCATAGACATGCCATACATTGACTCCAAAAACCTTGTGAATACTGAGTTGGGAAATACAAATCCGTGGAACCGGGACGGGGTGTGCTTAATTCACTTATTAGTGCTTTATTCCTTCTGTAGAGATCTGAATTCTTATAGATGTCTGAAAAGTCAACTCCTAACAACATTTCTTGGGCAGAAGCTGTCACTTCCAACATCCATGTTGCTGGATTGTACCCATCCTTGACTTTTCCAACTCCGCTAATGGCCTATTTTCACACGAGTAAATTTAATTAGTAGTATGATGACAAAATAAATGTTAGATCTTTGAAGTTTTGAGACTCACCTCAAAGTAATTGACCAAATGACATGAATGATGCCCCAATGGTCCGACATAAATCTCTTGTCCTCCTCTCTTCATTAGAAAGAGCTACAAAATTCATATATTCTCATCATCTTATTGTTTCAAAGTAAGAATAATAAACTAGCTTTAACATAAGACAATATTTAGTCAATAAATTGTACCTCATCAAAAGCTTCAAAAATGTCTATGCTAGGTTGATGAATGGTGCAAACTACGGTTCTACCAGTGTCAACAGTGTTCCTCACAGTTCTCATGACAATTGCAGCAGCTCTGGCATCAAGTCCAGAAGTTGGTTCATCCATGAATATGATTGAAGGGTTTGCCACTAACTCCACTGCTATTGTTAGCCTTTTCCGTTGTTCAGTTGATAGTCCATTAACTCCAGGCAACCCAACAAGAGCGGATTTCAATTCATTCAACTCAACAAGTTCCATTACTTCATCAACAAACATCTACAATTATATTACCCTAATGTTAATGTTCTTACATCGATAACTAAGAACTCATATATATGTAGTGATTAAGGATTTTATGTTTTCAAATTGGGGGTTTCATTCGAAAATTTTCACCTGATGTGATGAGTAGTCCATGATCTTATATGTGGATTAGTCGTGTTATATATTGATCTAACATGGGAGAAACAATTCAGAAATATGATTTGTATAACCCTCTAACCTTTCTCGTTTTAGCATCAACATCTTTAGGCAAACGCAACCAGGCTGAGTACACCAAGGACTCGTGAACAGTGACAAAGGGAGAATGGATATCATTTTGTTCACAATATCCTGAAATTCGTGCAAAAGTTTCTTGTTTTTTAGGAAATCCAGATATTTTTATATCCCCATCAATGTGTCCACCAGTTTTTCTTCCAGCCAAAACATCCATAAGAGTTGTTTTCCCGGCCCCGCTCACTCCCATCAAAGCAGTAAGAACGCCTGGCCTGAAAGCTCCACTCACACCCTTTAAAAGAACTAACCTATCCTCAGTGGCACCTTGATCTTTCATTTCCTGTGGCATGTCGACAGAGTAGACAACATTGTCAAATGTAAGGGAATGGGGTTCAAATGGAAGAACCATTCCTGTCTTCGAGTTGTCATTCTCTACGAATTGGGATTGATTATTGATGTTTTGGGTTGAAGCAAATTCACTTTCAGAATCAGCTGGTACATGAGCTTGAGGTTTGCCAAATGCTGTCAAACGTGTTGTAAGTAATTAATAAAAAACTTTAAGCATGGTTTGATGCTGAGGATATTACATCATGGTTAAGGGACAATGATACTTACGATTTAGAAATTGGAGAGCTAGAGTATACAAGATGTTGAAGAGCACTATGAATCCAAAGAGTGCAACCACACCTATCCAATACCATTTAGCTTCTGGGAAGAATCCTCTTGATTTCATAACTGCATCTCCAAGTGGTTCAGTACCATTTGGGGCGATCTTTTCAAACACAATGTCAAAATTTTAGTTTGATTAAAATAATTAAATATGCCTTAAAATGTCAAGTCACATTGAAATATAGGTGTGTACATGTCTCCAACTCTTCCCGTTAAATTCATTAACAAGAATTGCATTCATGGTATACATCAATGGGGAAGACCAATAGCCCCAAATCCACCAACTCTTCACATCATCTGCAGAACCAAAATGAAAACGAATGAATCTATATATGTTAGTTCATTGCATAATAAATAAATAATTTGCGTATACAAAAGCATTAGTTGGAATTGAGATTATTTCTATAAATAGGATTACTTATATTTTATTCCTTAACTAGCAAGTATTTTATCTAAATAAACTCAGAGTGTAAACTACGTAAACTTGACTAGGATTCCTTAAACATTAATTTTTAATTTTGACAGTGGTGGCAGTTCACCAACAACGTACACTTTCTATTTGTGGATTTTGATGAAGTTCTACCATGAGATGTCAAGTGAACTTAATGTGTTTGCAGTTAATTATTCAGGGTAATAGAACGAGAGATACTTTGGTCAATTACACACACACACACATGTCCTAAAAATATTTGTATGCCTATTTTAAGGAAAATGATATGTTATTCACTTATTCTTCCATTAAAGAAATTTCCACAATAATAAACAACCATTAATACACACTAACCTCGAGAGAGAACAAAGCCACCCAAAGCAAACAATAAAAGCAAAGCAAATGACCCATATGTGTTTGCAACTCCCATAGTCCTACCCATTGCTGCAATCAATCGAAATAATGAAGAGGCCATTTGGTTCAACATTACCAATATCAAGAACTGTTTGAACAACCTGAATTAGTAGAACAATTACCAACTTCTTAGTAAAATGATAATATAGTATCACAAGTGATGAAATTGAGATGCATATTAGTACAATTGTTACACTATTTGTACCTGCTAACATTTGGATCAAACCCTATGACGTAGTAAGAAATAAACACCCAAAGGCTGACTTCAACCAATGTAATAGGCACTTTGAGGATCCACGAAGGAATAGAATAAGCCCAAGGGGGGAAGAACCGGAGGTCTCTTTGCTTGTAGAACACCGGGAGCTTATAAATGGTCATTGGAAGCTCTGACATACCATTGAACATGATCATAATCACGCCAAAAAATAAGGCACCCACAAAAATCCCACCATCGGTTTCGTTATCTCTCTTCATTTCCGTTCGCAAAAATAGAGTCATGCTAACAGAACACATTATCAAAAGCTGGACATAGTTCATAAACAAATATCATCAAATCAGTAACGGCCAGGATGAAATAAAAAGAAAAGAACAATTTAGTAAATGGTGAATAGGTGTAAAACATAATGAAATTTCTCGAGTAGCATGTTTTATAGGAGTAAAAATGCATTGATAATTTCCCCCCTTTATTATTACATGTATTTGTTTGAGAAATTACAAATATACCCTTTGAAATAAATATAAAGAAAGACATATATCTATCTACTATCTTTGAGTATCATGGAACTCGTAAATTATAAAGTTAGAACAAATGTCCTTACATCCAAATACTTGGTGTGTGTGTGTGTGTGTGTGTGTGTGTGTGTGTGTGTGTGTGTGTGTGTGTGTGTGTGTGTGTGTTTTGATATGTATTTAAGAAGCTCTGCTCTAGAACTCGCTAGGCGCTAGTTGGGCGATTGCGGAGCACCTAGGCATAGACTAGACGCCAACTAGGCCGAGTTTTTTGCCGACTAGGTCGATTAGGCCTCCATAATAAGGAGTCGCCTAACGTATATACATTGATCAATCGAACCAACTAGGACATTTTTTTTTGCAAAAACTAGGACGCTTTTTAGAATAGTGTTAGAAGTATATATCTTCACTTGTATACAAGTCTAGAATATATTTGTTTAATTCCAATACTATAGTATGTACTTTATGTGTAATTGAATCCAAAAGAGAGTTGAAAAGTATTGGTAGCCTTTCCATATAAATTAAAGGCATATATAAAAGGCATACATATATTATTTTCCCTTTTTTTAAATACAAAAAGAAATTATCAAATTCAAGGGCATCACAGCTTGTTGCCACCACCGTTTCTGCTGCCCCCGCTTATGTCAATGCTGCGGCCCTCCAACACTAAACCCTAAGGGCCAGTATGGTTGGGGGATTTCGGAGGGGAGGGAAGGGGAGGAGTCATATTTAAATTCAAAATATTTTTTCCATTTTAAAAAATTCAAATAAAGTAAAGACAAAATAGTATATAAAAATACATGGTTTAACTAATTTTATAGTTATTTGAAGTTTAAAACTAAAACATTGAGATAAATTAATAAAATAAAAAATCAATCCTCTCCTTCCCTCCCCTCCGAAATCCCCCAACAAAACTGGGGGTAAATGATAAAGTCCAAAAAATACAAATGCTAAACTCCAACAAGCTACAAGGATAAAATTGAAGATATTTGTCCTTAAATATTATTAAAGTAAAACTTATAGACAAAACTATTATGTAGTATTAAAGTTACCGTGAGTGTATTGTCACGGTCACCACAATCTAAATCTGAACACAATAGTAATAATTAACGTTATTGTTGTAGTCACTGAAATATAAAAAGTCACATTTTAGTCCCTAACTTTATTTTAGTCATATATTCATCCTTATTTCATAATTAAAACTGAAAGTTTATTGGTTAAGGGTAAAACTTATGAAGGACTCATATGTTGGGTAACTAAAGCTTGTGGTTAGATTTTGTGTTTTGTTTATATTTTACTCCTAACAAAATATATTTGTTATAATGCTCACCTGAAAGAACTTGAAGATGTAAGCAAATGAGTTTCTTTGCATTAGCAAAAACTCTCTATCTGTGCAAACTTTCAAGAGCTGCCTCTTCCCTATACCATAGTCCCCACTTGTTAAGGCGGCAGGGTGACTTTTTGTTTTATCGAATGGTAGTGAAAGCTCATCTGTCATTCTCCTCCCAACATGGAAAGATTGGTACGCCTCTGCAAATTCCTTAGCCTTCACAAACCTATAAGGCTCATTTCTGCGAGTCCAATATTGTTGTTGATCTTTCTTTGAAGTTACCTGTCAACAACTAAACTTAGTATATTGCAAAGAAAAATCATTCATAGTTCGTTTACTCGGAGGTTTTAATTTTCTACATTATTATTCTCTCCGATCTGCTAAGATAAAGCGTACGTTTCATTAATCATTCAAAGAAAAAGCATACTTCTTGTAAAAAATCAGCAACGCCTTTTCTCTGAGGGCATTTGAAACCCATGGATTCGAAAAAATCCAGAATGTCTTCGCGGGGCCCATTGTAAACGACGTACCCTTCTGACAACAGAATGATGTCATCAAATAGATTGTAGGTCTCAGGTGCCGGTTGGAGCAGGGAAATGACCGCAGTACCCTTGAGAATGTGGACAAATTGCCGCAGCGAGTTGACAATAGAGTAGGTTGTGGAACTGTCGAGCCCCGTCGAGATTTCGTCCATAAAAAGAGCTTTTGCCGGTCCAACGAGCATTTCACCGGTGGTGACACGCTTTTTCTGGCCACCGGAAATACCTCGTACCATCTGGTCTCCGACCATTGTGTCTGCACATACTTCTAATCCTAAAACCTACACCGTATAGACATGTTAGCAATGACGGAGCCAGAAAATTGGCATGGGGTCGAAACTCAACTTATATACAGAACGAAAATGATGGATCATTTTTAAATAACATTCGAGTTGAATATTTCATATACAGTTTAGATAGATAGATAGATACCCGTAGCAATAAGATCTTCCCATTTTATTTTTTCAATTGTAACGAAATAATCTTCCCATTTCAAAACTTTATCATCATACTCTCAATAATTTTAAAAACAATAAACTATATATTACACGTACTCCTTTTGGATTTCTTCCTATTTCATCACACTATTTCATTATCTTCTCATCATACCCTCAATAATTTATATCTCCTTTCACTATTTATAATCTTATCCAGTTTTAAAGTGGGAAGATCTCAACATTAGGGAGGTAATTTTTCGGGACGGCCGAGGAATAATAGTTATTAAACCCACACCATACACAGGAGTATAACTCCATACAATTACTCCGTTAAAATGATATACTATCAATGTGTTTTATCTTAATTTCTTCCAAGTACGTTTTCTTGACTTTAAATTATATCCGTTGATGAGTTAATTAAATACCTTGAGAATATAATCGGTCACCACATTGGCTTCTTGTCCTTCAGTAGCTGCAGCCTGTATAATCATTTAAAGGAATACTATAAGACAAAACAATAGCAACAAATAGGAAGATGATTTAGTTTATACGGATTATTTAAGTCAAATAGTGATAAACCATCACCCAATAGGGTATTTTGGACAGTTTATATGTCGTTAAAGGTATTAGAAAATTAAAAGTGTAGCTTATAAAGTTGAATAACATGCACTTGTATATATAATTACTTAATCTTACTCAGAAGTAAGATTACATTGTTTTGAATTTTCTAAATATGACTAATCATGTGTGTTTGAACAAATATGTATCCATAGCTTTTTGGACTGTCCAGCTCACCGCCGCCAGCCGCTGCCCGCGGTCAGTTGCCCTGCCCGACGCCACCTTCGGAATCCGGGATCCGAAACCTCTGCCATACTCCAAGGCAAGGCACGGTGCCCGGCTATAGAGAACCGTCCGATCACAACATGGACGGTCGGAGATATTGAGGTGCAAATCCCTCATCCCGATGCTTCTCTTCTTCCCATCCGACGGTCCCCTGCGCGCAAGGCAATCTGCCGTGCCGCAGAGGATCCCAATCGCGGAATCCGACCCAAAATTCCATATTCGTGTGTGTTTGCAATTAGAGCCCGTTTGGAGAACTCTGTTTTCGGCTTATCAGGCTTATCAGCCAGCTTTTTCACCAAACACGTAACTTTTACTTTCGCGCGCTGAATTGTGTAATAAGCCGAAAAAGTAAGGTTGGAGTTACTTTTCTGGCTGTATTGGCTGAAGTTACTGTAGAGGACCATTTTAGCTATTTTTACATATAATTTTTTCTTTAATTTATTAATAAAATATATTTTTAAAATAATTTTTTTCTTAAATCAGCAGAATCACCCAAAACAGCCACTCCAGCCAGAATATCATAAATTTCAGCAGAATCAGCCAAAACAGCCGATTTTGGTGCTACCAAACGGGCTCTTAATCTTTCTTATCTGGTCCTTTGACTATTTAATTAATTTCTTATTTTCAGTGAATATGACAGGGAAGTGATGATATTTTACCATATTGACGTTTTGACAAATCAGATCATGACCATAAATGGTACTTTTTGGGGGTAAAAGTCTGGGTACACACCCTTACCCAAAAAGTCTAGATCCCATTTTGTTGACTGTTTGACAAGTCTGAATATTAAGAGCCCGTTTGGAGAACTCTGTTTTCGGCTTATCAGGCTTATCAGCCAGCTTTTTCACCAAACACGTAACTTTTACTTTCGCGCGCTGAATTGTGTAATAAGCCGAAAAAGTAAGGTTGGAGTTACTTTTCTGGCTGTATTGACTGAAGTTACTGTAGAGGACCATTTTAGCTATTTTTACATATAATTTTTTCTTTAATTTATTAATAAAATATATTTTTAAAATATTTTTTTCTTAAATCAGCAGAATCAGCCAAAACAGCCACTCCAGCCAGAATATCATAAATTTCAGCAGAATCAGCCAAAACAGCCGATTTTGGTGCTACCAAACGGGCTCTAAGAATGGTCATGTTTTTCTTTGCGCGCTAGAAAATGTTTTTGCATACCTAGCCACCTAGTTCTTAGAGTAGAAAATTCATATTTTTTGCTAGAATTTGATGCCTCTAATTTTGTCTTCATGCTATAATGATATGTAGGTCCATTCAGAGTTAATTGATGTTTTTCAAGTGAAGTTACAGTTTATTAATCCGGTTCTAAACAATGTGCAGTATAGAATTAACAAATTAAATACTCCGTATAATTTATGGAAAATATTATTTTTCTTAATATTTAAAAGTGACATTTTAATGTGTTACTCACTCACTTATAAAAATAAAAGATGCATTCAAAAGTTAAATCCATGGGGCGTTTACCAAAACAAATTCAAAATGTACGAACAAGCTCCGATCTCCACCTTCTAATTAATTGAAAGGGTATAAGATCAGAGTACTTGGTATTCAACCAGCTTTACATTTCTTTTTGGTTTGAAGATTAAGGGAATTTGGAATTGATTCTGCTTCTTTTTCTTTTTTAAAATAGAAGCAGAATCAGAATCAGTTTTCAAAAACTGATCTCCTCCAACTTCTAAAAAAGGTAATTCTAGGAGTCAATTAGAGCATTAGAAGTACTTCTGTATTTTTACCCAAACACTCTAACTGCTGCTTCTGCTCCTTGAAGAAGCAGAAACAATTTTTAAAAATCAGATCCAAACACCCCTAAGTTTGGAAGTAGACCAACTTTATTTATTAATACAATGTTTAATACAAAAGGTCATCTGAAAGGGATACTTTTAGGAGGCGGATCTTTCACAAGGTATGATTATTGTGCAAAATTTTGTACGATGCATCTTTACATCATTTATACTGCATTTTGATATTCAAAGTGTTGCATATTATTTTGTGATAAAATAAATAGTTCTATATTAATGTTTAAAGCGCTAAATTCGAAAAAAAATTGATTTTATTACCGGGTGTCTGCTTTTACAACCATTAGATCAATTCAATTGGTGTATATATAATTCACGTATTGCACATATCCTAATTAAGTGAATGAAATGAGTCTGTTTGATCCAAAAAGTCATTTTTTGTGATTCACCTACATAAAAAATGAGACTTTTATTAGGTGAATGAAATGAATCAGTTTGACCCAAAAAGTCAATTTTTGCAATTCAATTTGGTCAATTATTTTTTAGCCAAAAAGACTAATTGAATTATATATCTATTCATACTAATTAAGTGAATGAAATGAGTCTGTTTGACCCCAAAAATCAAGTTTTGCAATTCACCTACATAATACATGTTGTATTATGATTGCAATTAAAATAAATTCAAATTTCAATTATAAAAAAAAGTTATTTTAGAGCAATTTAGGTCGATTATATCAATTTGTCATTTATATATTACTTCCTCTTTCTTTTAAAGGAAATATTCTTTAAATTGGTCCACATTTCCTCTCCTTTCTTGACGTTATATAAATTTTGGTCATACTTAGATTATTAAGTGATTATTCTAGTGACATGGCAGATTATTTGGGAGAGCATGGTTGAGTGAGAGAGATTATTGGACAGAATTAATTGATAGAATAATCTGAGATCAAAATATGAAATCAGATTATTTTGAGATTATCTATGAAATTAGAGTTAATTAGTTGCTACAGGACCCACACAAGATCAGATTATTTCAGATGATGGTTGAAGGTAATTCGGAGGGGATGAGATTATTTCCAAAACATTTATGTGACAAATTTTAAAAGGTAAGAGTCACAAATAATCAGATTATTTTAAAATCATGAATGTGGATGCTCTTACAATTTATATATTTTTAAGACTATGTAATAATAACAAGGAAGATATATCTTTATAAAATGACTACATTGATGATTGACAGTTTAATTAACAGAAATTGCTCTAAACAGGAGTAAAAACGTTTTTAAATTCTATAATAGGATAATCATGTTTTTTATTCCATGAACATGAGTAATCTGCTATGTTTGGAAAGAAATGTCATGTTTAAAGTCTAGTAATGCCAAACATGACAAAAGTTTATTCAGGAAATAAAAAAATATGATAGTCCTATTTTATTCAGTAAGCCAATTCTCTCTTTAATTAATCAAGGAAAAAAGAAAAGTAAAAAGTAACAATAATAATAATAATACGAAAAAGACGATCAGATCGATTCAACACGTATCTGACTTGTTTACCTTCATGTAAACATCAACATCTGGATCCGGTTTTAATTAATCAAGGAAAAAAGAAAAGTAAAAAGTAACAATAATAATAATACTACGAAAAAGACGACCAGATCGATTCAACACGTATCTGACTTGTTTACCTTCATGTAAACATCAACATCTGGATCCGGCTTTATATTTGCTGCCTTCTCTCTTCTTGACAACTCCACCAACATTTCTAGAATAGAAACATTTCCCAAACGTTTAACCAAAGAAAATAATGGAACTAGGCAAGGTTTTATAAACACAACACAAATATTTTTTCTCAAAATAATACCCAAATTTAATGGGAAAATAACTTTAAATAATACTCTGGACAAACTATCTACCATACTAAAAATAATACGTACTTTGGAAATTACTTTTAATAATATCAACTATTTAAATATAGACCAATAGTGATATAGAACAAATTTTCAATGAAAATTCAATTATTTAATTCATCAAAAGCTAGTATCAAAATATCAAATAAGTGATTGTATTTTCAAATATCATTTATTTGATAATTCTCTATTAGTTTTTAATGTCTTAAATGACTGGATTTCTTGTGAAAAAGTGACTCCATATTATTTTTGGTTTGTACTCAAATAATTGGTAATATTAAAAGTCATTTCCAAAATATGTATTATTATTGATTTATGGGTGATAATTGGTATTATTTAAAGTTATTTTTCCAAATTAAATTCATAAATAAAAATGTGATCAAAATTACTATCATGTTCACACAGTATAATATTATTATTGAACATATTCCTAGTCATTAAAGTTGCTCAAATATTTACCACGCATAAGATTCACTTTTCTATGTGATTTTTATTTTAATTTTTGTTAAGATTTGGAATTCCATGCATCCTAAAAGGTCAATCGGATAAAAGGTTGAAGTAACCCGAATTTTAATATAGCACTTTATTATTTCACAATCCTCCGGTGTGTGACTTCAACACTTCTCCTCACGACTAAACATTTCGTCTAAATTATGCTGTAATTCATTTTTTAGTTGATTCGTCATAGTCATTTTTAAAAGCATCTTCATTTTTTTTATAGAGGACCCACACCACACCATGATTAAGATCTAGAGTTTCATTTTAAAAGATAACGTATAGAAGGAATTCTTAAATTCTAATACATAGTATATACTTACCATAACGAGAGCCGACGCCTTGACATCTAGCAGAGAATTCCAACGTCTCTCTGACAGTCATTTCACCAATGTGCAAATCGTGTTGACTAATGTAAGCAGCCGTTCTTTGGGGCACGAATTCCTTGAGGCTATGCCCGTTATAGGTCACTCTCCCTCCAACCTTTAGGTCTTTATCAAGCTTTCCAGCCAACGCCAGCAAAAGGGTCGTCTTCCCAGAACCAGGAGGTCCCAACAATAGGGTCATTCTACATGGTTTGACTATTCCACTAATATCATTCAAAATAGCAACCCTCCTCTTTTTGCTCTTGGTTATGTGAAGGACGTTCAGAAAATCCTTTCAAGTGAAAGAAAACATACACAAGATTTGGTTTAGTTTTAGTCATCACAAGTGATTCATATTGAAGTGTACAAACTTTGGTGTATATATAATTCATGAATAACATATTGGTAAAAATAATTTGACAAGACCTTCATTTCATTTACAATTAAGTGAATACACATAATCATATTATAACTCAAAGACTCATGTAGTTATTAATAAAACAAAACACATGGGCATGTGATCACAATTACATCTTGCTTTAAAACCAAGTCTTCCCTCATGAGATCATATATACACTATAAAAAATAATGGGATTCACATGGATTTACTGATTTTTTCGTGGCAAATAGCTCGTGTCAAACTACTTTTGACACGGATTTAGCATATCCCTGTAAAAAATCATTGACAATCCCATGTTTTTTATAGTGCTATTACTGCTATATGTATGTGGAATACATTAATTTTAATTTTTTAATCTATAACCGAACCTACACTATAAAAAAACTAAGCTACTCTACAAAATCTTTTGAATCGCACAACACAAGAAACAAAAATAGTTTAATCTTACTATACGAGCTAGTATAACATTTGAAATAAAAAAAATAAGTTGACAATAATTTGAATAACGTATGTGATTATGTGAACCTTAAAGACCTGCCTTTTAGTAATATTGGAAGTAAATTTCTCTATTATATTGTATTATAGATTCATTATCCACAATTTGAAATGAACAATCGTTTTTTAAATATGTACCCATGTCAAATAATATTAAGATATCAAAAAATACTTTTTTCTATTAGTATGACTTTTTTTTATCAAAGAAAGGATTCTTAGATTAATAGTTCAATACACATAAAAGACTTGAGAAAAATTTATACATAGGATTTGTACATTATTACAGTGTCTTTTAAAAGTATGTTACAATTTCTTAAATATTAACGTGCACATAACACACCTCAATGTAATTGGTAAAGAAGTTGATGAAGGAAGGCAAAGCTCTACTGCCTCCATAAGCATCTGCCTCCACATTCAGATGCTCATATCTCACTTCAATGGAAGGAAGATCAATCCCAACTCTGCCAATAGTTTGTTTATACCAGGAAAGATGTAATAGTTTATTAGTTCATATTTTACCGGTACGGAGAATACTTCGATATTTACAAACACGACCTATGATTAATTAATAATTAACCTGTCAATTCTGTTCCTGAGTTTCAACAAGAACTTCTCATTGTCCTCATCGGCGACATTCACGAGCCTCCGAAGCAGATTTTGTCTCTCTTGGAAGCCGAGATCGTCGATATCCACCTCCGTGGCAGGCCCGTGGGAGCCGAAGAGGAGCCCTTTTCGGAGGCGATCAAACGTGGGCAGTTTCTCCAGCGCTGCCCATTTCAAGGCCTCCTCGTCGTCCTCGTCTCTCGACGACCGGGAGAACACCTCCGCGCCGGTGCTCCTCCATATAGAATTGTTGCTTCCTCTCAAACTCCCTACTCTAGTAGAGCTCCCTCTTATGCTCCCTCCTCTTATAATTCCCAAATTCGTAGCCTCCATTATAATTCCCAAAAGCTCACTAGCTCAGAGATGTTTTGGTGGGATAAAGATGGCGACTTGCTTTTATAGTAGTCACTAGTCAGACCCCCGGAATATCTGCAATTTCCTTCTCATTTCATTTTTTTTCATTCATTTCGATTCGTCACCCCTGAGATCACGACGCCCATTACGTGGTAAATCGGTAATAAAATGTGGGTAACATGGTTGATTCGATGGATTTAATTATTTGCAATTTTAAAGTAAACAGTTAACTATTAGAACATTACTTTTCTTTTTTGCTTGAGAGAGCTTGTGCCAAAGGTTGAATCCATAACTGAAGAAGTCTATCCATCAATCCAGAAGGGCATATGAGTGCAAATCATGATAACTCAATTAAATTCGGATGCTAGAGTAGCTTCCATTTTGCACAAGGAGTTCTTCACTTTGAGAGGTTGTCTCATATGACTATTTGTTGTTGGCTACTTGGCTAGAATCGATCATGGGACATTTGTGTAAAGGAAAATTTACACAATTTATTTATTAATGTATGATAATTGTTTTTTTGAAAAATATTGTGCAATTCATCTAATTAAAAGTTTTGACGGTAAAAAATTAAGTATACTGACGGGAAAAATTGTGTGTTGAGAAGTGTGAAAATATGAATGTTGCAACTAAGGATGTTTTTACTTAGACTGTAATTTGTCCCAAACCAGACCAGACCAGTCCAGACCAAACCACACAAGACCAGATCAGACTTGTATAGTTACAAAAATACAAAGAAACCAGACCTTACCAGATCAGACCAGACCAGACCAGATCAGACCAGACCAGACCAGATCAGACCAGACCAGACCAGAACAGCAAATTACAGTCCAAGTAAAAACATCCTAAAAGGGAAAAGGTGCAAATAGGCCCACATACTAACAAAAAAGGTCAAATAAGCCCTTATTTATGAGGCTCTGTCCGGCCGTCACCATTTGGGGTGATTCCCGGTGGAATTTTTTGATGAATTTTTTTAAGCATCTAATTCATTAAGTCTAGTTTACTCATACCAAATTTCAGTTAAAGTTGCGCAGTTAGAAGCACATTTATCTTCAAGAATTAATTTGAATGTCTTCCCGATTGAAGTTTTAGCTGAAATTTGGTATGAGTAAACTAGACTTGATAAATAATATGCTCAAAAAATTTCATCAAAAAATTCCACCGGGGCGGACAGCGCCTCTTAAATAAGGGCTTATTTGACCTTTTTTTGTTAGTAGATGGGCCTATTTGCACCTTTTCCCCAACTAAAAAGAATGGATGAAGTATTAGTTTTGAGGAGAGAGAATTGTCACATATACTCCGTATCATGATATTATTAAAAATAAATGAAGATGAAGAAGTTGTAACTAACCATTGAAGTAACTTTTACTTTGAAAATAGTTTTACTAGAAACGCCAATGTGGCAAGTCAAATCACATTATATTACTGCTAGCAGGACTCGATCCTGAGTCACTTGTGCCAAATTAAACTTCACCCTTATGAGGCTGTGAACAACTCGGGAAGCTAATTTGCCAAACAGAACTACTCGCTTTGATGAAAGAGAATTATTAAATATGATATTATTAATAATAGATAAAGAAAGTGTGGCTAGCTAACTATTGGAACATACATCTTTTACTTTGAAAAATAGTTTTGCAAGATATATTGATGTGGCAAGTAAAATCAGAAGAACAATTAGCTAACCATGAAATACAATTAATGGAATTTTATTAATCCCGAATATGAAAGATAAGTTCACTATCAATAGGGGCGAGAGATAAAATGTGTTGATACATGTCCTGAATGATTGAAATCAATCAATCTCAAACCTAAAGTATCATGAACTTTAATACTTTTTATTATAAATGTGTTGATATATGATGAATAAAAATCATCAAAAATTTAGTAATGTAATTAGTAAAAAAATAAGTTAAAATGTACTATCCCCCGTTCTTTAATAGTTGCAACACTTTGACTTTCACGTTTGCCAATGCACAACTTTGACTTTAATTATATTTAATTACGTATTAGTAAAAATTATAAAAAGTTAATATTTTGAAAACTCACATGAATAGAAATTTAATAACATTTTATACATAATAATCTGATTATAAATATTAGTAGGAAGTCGTGTTCAAGGTAAGATGTGTGAAGAGTGCGAAAATCCTAATGTTGCAACTTTTAAGAAACAGATGAAGTATGATACTTTAGATCTTTAATTGATAATATTCAAACATTAACTCTATATCGACACATTTGATCTTTCACATCTCTTATTTTTCAAGTCTTGAATTGAATTTCTTACTCCTCCTGAGATTCAATTTTACACAAAGTCATACTATAGCCTTTTAGGCCATTTACCTTTTGACTTACTCTTAGGAGTTTTTTTTCCCGAAATAATGTTAATTAAATAAATAAATCCCAAAATACTACTAGGTTAAAAATAATTCCCAAAATAATGTTGGAATGGACCATAGTTAACAAAACCGCCACTTAATTGAAGTGGCGGCTTACACATATGATCGATCAACACAACAATCATGGAATCATCACCCACAGCCAAACGATGAAATTGAAAAATGGCCCCACCCAAAAAATATCCCCTCTTTATTTTAAATTGCTATAACTTTTTTTATTTGTGCTCGGATTGTTACAAAAATATATCAAAATTCATAAATTTTTATTATATTTCATATGACACTAATATTGCATATAAAAAATAAAAATAAAAAATTAGCAATTTAAAAAAACTTTTGTTTTTAAATTGTTGTAACTTTTTTATTTTAATTCCGATTGTTACCAAAAATATATCAAACTTCATGATTTGTTATTATTTTTCATATCACACCAATATTGCATATATAAAAATGAAAAAATAATTTGGCACTTTAAAAAAAGTGTGTTTTAGGCGACTCTCTATAGCTTTTGTTTTCATTAAAGAGGTGAGATGTGTCTAGGTGCTGAAGACCGTGCAATACTACAATGTTCGTTGAGTTATTACCCACTGAGCCTCTCTTTCGCCCCCCGTCCATAATCCTTCTTCGTTGTGAAAGTAGTCTACAACAATTATTTTAAAAATTGAAGTAAGGTGTGAACATAGTAAAAGACATGCGGAGTATGTAGTATAACTATGCTTTATTCCAAAATATGATTTATTTAGTCATAAAAAGAGAATAGGAAACAATAAATTTCATTTTTATATATGAAAGACACTTTTTTTGAAGTGCCAAATTATTTTTTCATTTTTATATATGCAATATTGGTGTCATATGAAGGATAATAAAAAATCGTGAAGTTTGATATATTTTTTGTAACGATCGGAATTAAAATAAAAAAGTTACAACACTTTAAAAAACAAAAGTTTTTTAAAATTGCTAATTTTTTATATGTAATATTAGTGTCATATGAAAGATAATAAAAAGTTATAGATTTTGATATATATTTTTTGTAATAATCCGAGTACAAATTAAAAAGTTATATCCGTTTAAAATAAAGAGGAGATTTTTTTTTGGTTGGGGCCCATTTTCAATTTCATCTTTTGCTCTGCGTGATTCCGTGATTGTTGCGTTGATCGATCGTATGTGTAAGCCGCCACTTCAAGTGGCGGTTTTGTTAACCATGGTCTATTCCAACATTATTTTGGGAATTATTTTTAACCCAACAGTAATTTGGGAATTATTTATTTAATTAGCATTGTTCCGGAAAAAAATTCTACCCTTAGAGTCTTAGGCGGTGCATTTGTTGTTTATTTTTAAATAAACATAACTTTCATTAATGATCATCCCTTAACACAATGTCTCGAATATGAAATGGTGGAATCTCAAACCAAGAACAATCATACTAAAAATAGTCTTGCCTAACTAACGCGTGAGTAGCCTTATTCGCTGATCGTCGCACCTATTGAACAAACATTTTAACGATGGACGTCATCATGTGCCTAATATCATCTGACAAAGATGTATCATATGTGCATCCACCTGGGCAATTTATAACACCATGCACAACTTGTTGAGCATCTGATTAATTGGTAATTTTTTGCCCACCATTTTCCTTAGCGCATTCTATCGCTTCTCATATGGCTATCAATTCGGTAGAACTTGCTGCATAATTGCCCCTACACTGTCGTCTCATCCCCGCCACAAATGATCCGAACTCATCTCGAGCTACCATGCCAAGCCCATGTTTAAAACTATCTGGGTCTAATGCAAGTAGTGCATTTGTTAGTGAAGGTGTAATATTTGAGATTAACTTGAAATGATTAATAGTACTATTCATATCAACAATGTGCATATTCTTTTAAAGGATCTCATTAGCTAAGAACTCCAGGTTAAGCGTGCTTGCACGAGAGTAGTATTGGAATAAGTGCCCCTGGGAAGTTTCATAGGGCTCACATGAGTGAGGATAATGTGAGCGGTAAAGGCTTGTGTTGATTTGTTAGGATAGTACTGGGTCTGGATGACATTTATAAGTAGTTATCTCGGGCCCCGAGGAATTGGGGTGTTACAAATTATATCAGAGCAACTCTACGACAGTGTGTTGATCTGACAAATATTGGATGGGCACTTAGCAGGATAGAATTCTGGGTATATGGGCGTAACGAGGACATTGCATTCCTAAGTGAGGGTGATTGTAATACTTGAAATTAGCTTATAAGGATTAATAGTACTACTCATATCAACAAGGTGCATCTTCTTTTAAGGGATCTTATCAACTAAGATAAGCGTGCTTGCAAGGAGGTAGTCTTGGGATGGTCACCTCTCGAAAGTTTCTCAGGCCGGGCACGCATGAGTGATGACAAAGTATGAGGTGAAGGCTTGTATTGATTTGTAAGGACATTACTAGAGGTCTAAAGAGTATCTATGAGTAATAACCTTGAGTTTGGGGCGAGATCATGGTGTTACAGAAGGTCCCACAATTACTCAGTGTAAAATAGAGTAAGAAAATGTTATAGGGGAGCTCTCCAGTGCCTTTAATCTACACTGTTTTGGTGCATTTGACATATGATGTTACTCTATTAGTGGCTATTCTATGATTTTCTCTGACTATTATTTCTAAATTTATTATAAATAAATTATAAAATTGGATAAGAGTCGTTTGTACACTATCC